TGTGTAAACATACCTGGCAATAAAGCTCATTCTGATCACACAGCGCCTTCACGACATGGCGGCGGCGGCAACAATACTACAGCGAGAATAAAAGTTAGGCCTTCTTTCTTTGTGTGAACATTTGGGCGGCGTTATGCAAATCTTCCCACAGAGCGATGTAGGTATGTTGGGGCGTGTTAGAACGAGCCGTTTTAGGTAGGTGTGGCTGACTCTTAACTTTTATAAAGAATATCTCTTTGGATTTGAGACTTTAGCCTTTGCAACTTTACAGATCTTCTTTATGCACCAAGAGCTTGTAATACTCCAAAGAGAAAGGAAAAATTGAAATCGCATCATATGACCCCTTTAAATAAATGCTGTTCTTTTGAACTTTCTATTCCTCAAACAATCAAAGTATCATGCACAACTGTTTTCAACACTGACTGGGGTAATGACTGCTGAAAATTCAGCTTTGACATCACAGATATAAATTACATTTTAAGATATAATAAAATGAAAAGCAATTATTTTAATTTGTAATAATATATCACAATATTAGTGCTGTATTTTTGATCAAATAAATGCACCCCTGATGAACATAATAGTCTTCTTTTAAAAACATTAATAGAAAATCTTACTGACCCTGCGATACTGTGGAAAACGTGTGTTAACACGTCTAAAGGTATTAGGAATCGCTAACCTTGCTCCCTTTTCAGTTTTTTTTTTTTTTTTTTACAGAAAAAAATAATGAATGTTTACAAATAAGCCTCCCAAACTCTTTCCACATCTGCCATTGGTCAGTCAAACAGATAGTCCTGCCCCAAACTCACGGCATTAGTTGAGCCAGTGTTGTCTTATTAAACTGGGATTAGTGTTTTAACATCCAAAAAAATTGCACCCATTACCTATGAGTGTTTTAGTCCAGTCAGCAGTTCATTACTATGTAATTTTATGCCTCTAGCAAAAGCATCTCCTCTGGATGAATGGGACATCTGGATGAACCAAACAGACACACATTCCCTTTTTATCTGGTCTCTGTAGGATGGAGCTTCTGAAAGGCCTTCAGATACAATTAATATTAGATAGAGGTCTGCTGCTGCCTTCTGATGTGTTGGGCTTGTGAAGTTTCTCTTTTTGAACGTTATTGCTTCTCTTTTTCTTCAAATAAAGTTGATATATAAGACAGACTGCAATGTGTAGTCGCCGTGTTCCCTCGGTATTAGGAAGAGCATGGATATGGCACTGGCCTGAAACATTTTGTTGGAACCAATGTGACATTTTAAAAGTAAAAATTTAAACAACGCATTTAGTCTGAATGAGCCAGGCAACAGCATTTCCTGAGAGAGAGTTAAGTGCCGGAGAGATGATAGCGGTACCTCACTTCAGGTATTTGAGACGAACAATTTAGTGCCATGGTGCTGGTCATTTGTCTTACTCTGAACTTGCTATGAGGGTTTGAGATTCTTTTTGTTTCTTTCATGCGCTGTTATATCTTTCACCTACACACTGTTTGAATGCTAGAACATTCACACTGTAGCATTATTTTTATAGTACTTTGCATTTTGATATTAAAAGAAATTTGATCCAACCCTCAAGACATTTTATTGTAGACACGTTTTCTCTACTTGGAGATCTTTTAGAGAATGTTTGGTGGTGATTGACAGACTGGTTGATGAGAATGGGTTGTGGCAGTTTGTCACAGTTTATCACAAATAAATTCATATATTTTTGAGAAATATGAAGTTTTACACAGATTACTGTGTGTTTTGGCATCACAAAGCCACACAGTTTTCTATTGCCTGATTTCCTGATCCAAAAATGAAAATTGTATCATCACTTACTCGCCCTTCTTTTGTTCCCAGATTTTATGACTTTGTAAATGGATTGCTTGCACAACTATTTTTGTGTTTTACAAACAATTTTCAGGCAGCACATCTACATTCAGACAATTACTCATAAGAACACAGATTATTTCTCTTTTTAGGGCTAAACAATGAATGATTGCATTGAGTTAAATACATTTAATTATGTTAAAAATATTTAATCTAAAATTGCATTGTATGCAGTATGTATACTGTGCGCAGTTTCCAAATTTCATTATGCATTGAATATTCAGATTGTCTACTGCATTTGCCCAAAAAAAACAAAAAAAGAATTAGCAGAGAATATTCAAAATGTAATGGACTCAACTTGACCTTTGTTTTGCAAATGAACTGGAATTATCAACTGTAATTTCAAACATATTTTTCTTGACCCATTATTCAACCAAACTGCTAAGAGTTAAGACATTTTTTACACACGCTTGGATTAAATGTGTATTATTTTCTGAGTTAAACATGCAGTGTAATGTGACAGCAATGAAGGATAATATTCTTACAAACGTTTATCTTTGCATAATGCATGCTGTGCTATTAAAAAATAACAGGCAGTATGCAGTGTGCAGCAAGCAGTGTGCTTTCAGCAGGTCTGTGCTGTGACTGATTAGTAATGTTTTGGGACACCTGCAATCAATCTAACACTACTCGGCATGCCATTACTCCGGTCTGGAATGTGTTGCTTTGAATGGAGCAGAAGCTGGTGCTCAGAAGTGAATTATACTTGAGAGTGGGCCCATCAAGGTTATCCAGCTTTGTGGAGTGATACAAACACATCATGGAGTGTGTTATCTGTCAGTATGTTTTCATTCACTTTATGTTTCCATGTGTTTTTTGTATGTGTGTTTTGTTCTTTGGTAGATGGGGGAATCACATGGCGGAAATTAATCCTATGAGGGAATCTGCATTTGTGCGTGTTTGTTAGGAAAAGGCCCTGTTGGATAGGAGGTTGATTGGTCTGATTGGAGTTACCAAAAGGTCATTAAAGGTGAAACCCAGCATGAAGCAGCAGTCGCTTAATAGAGCTCTCTCTGTGTGTGTGTGTGTGTGTGTGTGTGTGACAGACAGACAGACAGACAGACAGAGAGAGAGAGAGACAGACAGCATGTGTTTCTTGCACCTGTGCACATCAAGTTGTGGATTGTTGATTTGAATAATGTTTGATGAGCTTATGGATCTCCTGATTGGGTTGTTCATGTGATCTGAAGTGGGCAATTTTTTAAATTAGAGCAAATTGTCTCATGCCTTTTTTATTATGTGTCCATGTAAACTAGATGGATTCTGTCCAAGCATAATAGTAATAGTTATAATAATAATAATGGATTATCATAAATTTATTATTATTATTTAGTTTATTTGATTTTTTTTTTTTACTGCTTCAACAGGTGTCATTGTTGCAGTGAACCTATTTCCAAAGTAGTCCAAATTGATTTATTTATTTATTTATTTTTTAATAATAAGGCCATTATTATTATAATGCATGTTTGTGTTTGTATGTATACTTTATAGTAGTACAATTGATTTGATTTTTTTTTTTTTTTTACTGCAGGGTAGTAATGTCGTGGAGGACCAGGACCTGCTAGAGATCGGGATTTTAAACTCTGCCCACAGACAGCGACTTCTTCAGGCTATTCGCCTGCTGCCCAGGGTGAGTACAGACATCGGGGACATAATAGGGCTCACACAGGGTGCATTCAGCTCCAAAAATATCAGCTAACAATGCATTTGGAAGCAAATTTGTAATAAAAAAAAATTTAATTCAGCATTCCCTCAGGATTTTCTTTCTTCCATGGAAAAACAATGAAAACTTTTGATCAATAACAAATAGTTACCAGTGGCTGTAAAGCTCTAAAGATGATATACACAGGCTTCACTTCTCTGTTATTACAAATGTAATGGCTCACTCATAAAAGGTTGATAAGTTACGCTCAGGCAATCCTGATGGGAGCATCACTGACTTCAGTGACACACAAAGACACTGAACTGAAGAGCACTGTAATGATTAGTATCTGTACGAAACGAAACGTGCTGATCATTGAAATTCTGCATGTGATACATGTGTGTGTGTCATGGATTTCATTACTAAATGAGGTTTCATGGTATCCACGTTTATCACATACACTTCCCAGGGTGAACCGTCCCCCAAGAATAGTCAATTTAAGACCCCCTCTAGAGTAATCCAGCAAAGCCTCTGGCACTGAGTGTGTGTGTATGTGCAGGAGACCTGACATCAAATAAATCTCACTTGTGTCCCAAACAACCTTGCACTCCCCTTTCTCCTTCACAATCTCTGAAAGGACACTGCAGAGGGGAGTGGCTGTGTTGTGATAAGATACTATAGCACACACACACACTAATGTGCAAACCTGCTTTTGTTCAAACATAAGTGAAATTTGAAGGGATAGTTCAGCCGAAAATGAAAATTCTCATCAGTCATGATTTACTCATCCTCAAGTTGTTACAAACCTGTATGACTTACTTTCTTCTGTGGAACACAAAAAAAGATATTTTGAAGAATGTTCTTGCTGCTCTTTTCCATATTAGAAAAGTGAACATGGATTTGGGCTACAAAAAAGCACCATAAATGTCTTGCACACAATATACAATAAGTCCTCTTATTGTATAGGCCCAATTAAAGTCACTTTTCACTATAATTTTCCACTTTTATGGTGCTTCTTTTGTCATTTTGGAGCTACAATTGGAGCTAAGTTACTTTATATGGAAAAGTAAAGGATGACAGAACTTTCATTTTTAGGTTCAAACTGAAAATTATTCCTTTAAAAGAAGTTAACTTTAAGATTATGGACAGGAAATGGCATGTGTGTGAGAAAGAGATATGAAGGCTCACTATGAAAAGAGAAAAACACAACTTTTCATCTGCAGTCAGCGCTTTCAAGCTCTGTTTTAGCTGATAGCTTCTCTCTGTCTGCATTTACATTTATGCATTTGGCAGATGCTTTTATCCAAGGCCTTTTGCTGTGTATTCAATATATATTCTTTTATCAGTAAATATGGGAATGATTCCCTAGGAATAAAACACATAATTTTGTTTTGTTAGCTTGTCTGCCCCCTATTTACCGGCTAGACCAGCGCCAAATCAATGTGGACCAGAATGGAAATTCATGCTAGCAGTCCAAGCAGGGGTTTCCAGTACAGAATAACAACATTTCCTGTTGCTGGTCCTCTTTATTCAAAACCCCAACTGTATCCAGCCTCTGGTTTTGTTACTGATGTGGTAGTTTAACAGTTTTTTTCTATGTTTAAGGTTCGGCCCATTGGTTACGATGGAAATAACCCCACCTCAGTGGCAGAATGGCTGGAGTCTCTGGAGCTGGGAGACTATACCAAGTCTTTCCTCATCAACGGCTACACCTCCATGGAGCTGGTCAAGAAGATCTGGGAGATCGAGCTCATTAATGTAAGTCCTGCTTACCTCACTTCCTGTCTGTTGCTAAGTTCTGACCAAATTCAGTTCTAAAAGATTCATTTGTGTTTGGATTGTAAGGGTCACAGTCAAGGGAAACCTGGAAATATTAGGGAATAAAATAAAATAAAACATGGGGGAAAATCATGCAAATTGTGAATAAATCTTAAATAAATGTATTAATAATGTAATATAATTATATTCTATTGGCTATAAATCACTCTTTTTGAGTGTATTCTCTATAAAATGATTTATATATATATATATGTGTGTGTATACATCTTTTATAAAAAGATATGTGAATGTGTGAACCCTGTATTTATACAGACCCAAGTGTTTAGCCGTATATTCTGTTATTGATGTGTTGGTTCTGTTGGAATGAAGCTGTCTTTTGAAACAAGATTTGCTAGAGGGCCTTTGAAAAGACAACCAGAGGTTGAAACATCATCCTGAATCATTCTGACATCCTATTGGCCGATTTGTTGTAATAGAGTTTCGGTTGGCTCTGAATCTTGCCTGTAATTGTATTTGTTTGATAAACAATCCTGTCCGATCTGTCTTGCTTTCGACTGCAGTGAAACCACAGATATAATAGTGGCATCTCTGGTATGACACTAAACAGAAGAAATTTCAGGATAACTTGATCTGTTTTTTGAGACTTTATACTGTAGCCTGCACGTTTGGGAAATATTTCTGCAGGAGAACATATATCTGCACACTCATATTAATGCAACCGTTTGAGCTTTCAGGTATTTATCAGCCAAATAAAGGTATATTTTACCTGTAATTCCATAAGTCCTCCAATAGTTATTCCTGCAGCCCGTGTGGGTAAATCAGAAATTGTGAATGCTTAATGGATTTTTTTTTCCCCCAGTGTGTGATGAAGACTAAATGGCGTGTTTGATGACAGTGAGATCACATGATGTGTTGCTTTAACAGATATGGTGTTAAATGTCTCTAATTACAGCCTCATGTATGCTAATTTCACTCACTTTCAGCCGAGGGAGAGAAAGAGAAACAGAGAGAAGGAATGAGCAGATTATATAATAATGTGGGATGTGATTTCTTCAGCTCTCGAAAAAAATACACACACACCCACTCGCTGTGGAAAGTAACTCGCTGTGGAAAGTAACTAGAATGCTGCAGTGGGAATTAACACATGGTTTGGCCACAAGAGAGAGCCAGAGTGAGAAAAATGAGTGTTTTTATACTTTTGATAGAATAAATTTAGCAAGAAAATGTTGTTGGAGGTATTCTGTTTGTGTTTGCCAATGCTCATTGTGACCATGCAACTGTGGTGAAACACTACCATAGTATGCCTTGGTGTGTGTGTGTGTGTGTGTGTGTGTGTTGTTAACATCGTCATTCCCTCCAGCTCAGTGTTTAATTAACACACACACATTTAATACACAACTGATGTTGGCAGAATGTTTGCTTAACATGATTGTGCATATAGGAACCTTTACATGTTATGATGGTCGTATGGTGAATAACTGTCTTTAAAGAAAGTTCATTCAAAAATAATTTTCTCACCCTGTTGTTCAAATCCTGTTTCTTTCTTCTGTGGAATACAAAAAGAGAAGTTTAGAAGAATGTTCATGCTGCTCTTCCATATAATGGACATGGAAGGAGACTGCAGCTGTCAAGCTCCTAAATGGACAAAAAAGTTTTTCATAGAAGTGGTCAGTATGAATTGTACGCTATATTCCAAAAGTTCTGAAGCCATATGATAGGTTTGTGTGATGATAAACTATCATATCTCATTTGCGTTTCCACCAGAGTTATTTAAAACTATTAAAAATAATTTTCATTAATTGAACTAAAGATGACATAAAATAAAATATAAATATTAGATAGATAAAACTAAAATTAGAAACGAACTAAAATAAAATAAGTCGAAGTACTTTACTTACTAAAACAAAAAATAAATTAAATCTTACTAAATAAAAAATATTGAAAAAAAAAAAAAAAATTTATAAAAATAACAAAAGCACAAAATTAATAAAACTTACAACCTTAAATGAAAATATAAAAATAAAAGCTTATTCAATATAAAAATAAATGCTAAAATAGTATATAAATAATACTAAAATAACCCATTTTCCATATGCGATTGGTCACATTGTATTTGTCAAATCTAAGAATAAAAGTAGATAGTGGCTATGTTTCCATCACCCTGTTTTTATGCGCATTCTGAAAATTTCTGGGAAAAAAATCCCTTAATTTGCAAAAACGTTTTTACGCTTGCTTGAGGTGGTTTTTGACTTGTTGTTTTTACTTGATGAGCATCAAAAAAGTTTCTTTTTACACATCATCTGAAATGTTATGGTCATTCTGAAATGCCTGAGTAAAGTCTGTCATCAAAGTATTTCTGTATAATTGCCTCCCGGAACTGTCTTACACGACTGCGTTCCCAAACAGCAGGCATCCACCTCCGAAAGCAATGACTGCATTTATTGTGTCTCGTCTGCTCGCTCTGAGGCGCTCGTCTGCTCGCTCTGAGTTTATTATATATGAAAATTATTATATTCAGTGGCTTCTCATACATTACTTAGTGATATTTAGTGCCAGTTTATGAGGAAGTGACAATTTTGTTCTCTATGACTCGTTGGATGGAAACTGTGCTTTATTCGCAAATGTTTTATGGGATATTCCAATCTTCGCAGCTTTGGATGTAAGCCCAGCTAGTGAAAAGAAACAATTTTGGTGAATAACTTTTGTTCTGTTCCTCACAGAATACTACCTTCAAAAGACTTGATACACTTTATAGATACTTTTAAATAGCCTGCAACCCAATTCACTTAAATGGCAGCACATTCTTCAAAATTTCTCCTGTTGTGTTAAATTGAAAGTCATACAGGTTTGCAACGACATGTAGGTGAGTTAAAGCAAAACATTTATTATTGCATGAAAAACTATCCCTTTAACACCAGCACAGGCTTGCAGCTGGATATGCAGAGCGGGATCTTCTTTGACTTTGTGTGTGTGTGTGAGTGGTTGAGCTGTTCACGGAATGGGACGTTCTGAACTTCCTCTAATGAGCCTTGGTACAGACAGATCACAGAGAGCCTCTGTCTCCCGGGTCGCTGTCCTGAACTCTCTGCTGTAAATGAGACTGAGAGAGACTCTCAGAGTGAAAGGGAAGACACTTTATGCAGTGTAGTACACAGCGGTGCCCTCGTCTGAAGCCAAGACAAGGAAGGGAGAGAAAGAGACACAGAATACTGCCTTGTTTTCGTGTTTCCTAGAGAATGTCATCCTTAAAATGAAACATGCTGACCGATAGCACAGCAGAAGTAGTTTGGTTCAGAGATTGAGAAGCGATAGTGTGAAGAGAGGCAGGGGAGAAGAGAGAAAGAGGGCAATGGGAGAGAGAAATAGCATCTGAGTGGGCCAGATTAAATCAGCTCATAAACGCTCAGGGCAACAGATACAGAGGCTGCTGGACGAGACAGTGACGAGACGTGTGTTATTGCTGTTCATAAACACAATTAGCCAATAAGGCGTAATAAGGTCAAAGTTAATTTTATACCATATTATGCACCTAATAGGTTTTTAAAAGAAGTTGCTTGTGCTCACCAAGGCTGCATTTATTTGAAAAAAGAAAACCGGAATATCGTGAAATATTCTCGCAATTTAAAATAAATGTTTTCTGTTATTCCTGAATTTTCAGTGCTCGGTGTCACATGAACCTTCAAATCTTTCTAATATGCTTGTTTGTTGCTTGTAAAACATTTCTTACCACCAGTTTTGAAAGCAGTCGTGCTGCGTAATATTTTAGATTAGTTTTAGATTTTTTTCAAGATTCTTTGATGAATAGAAAGTTCAAAAAAGAACAGCATTTATTTGAAACAGAAATCTTTTGTAACATTATAATGTCTTTAACAGTTACTTTTGAACAATTGAATGCAACCTTGCTGAATAAAAGTATTAATTTCTTTAGAAAAATATTTTTCCAAACTTTTAAATGCTATTAAATATCTACATATAATGTGCTATATATTTAATATTACGGTATTTGTCATATTACTATACATTTATTTGCTTACTGTCTCTCATATTTGACTGCTATTGTTTGATTCTATTCATATATTAAGTAAGAATAAAATTTGAATCAAGGCAAGTCCACTTAATGATCCAATATGTCACCTGAATCAGCTTGATCTCACTCTTGGATTGACTGAGACATTATTCCTTATATTCCAAAATCCCACTTCTCAGCACCTTATGAATGCCATAAATGTTTGCAGCTGTTTCTCAAGCTGTAATACACCTACTGTTCACTAGGTGGCTCCATCACTCTTTTTTCAAGATGTACAATTCAAAATTGAAATATTTATTGGTGTGATGAAGGTTTGCTTTGACTAGGTGTTAATAATATCATACATATACTATGTACAAAATAAATAAATGCATGGAAACAATAGAAGTATATATGTTTGGTACCTTGGATTTGCAAGCTATGTGGGACACATTACGTAATATTACAGAGAGTATCGGTGTAAACTGTGTAATGTCACTTTCAGCCCCGTTTTCTTTTTCTAATCACACATTTATTTTTACATGGACCTGGCATGAATTATATTGGCTTTCAGCTGGAAGAATTGACCATTTAATTTTCTTTTTCTCAGTTTACATGTCAAAAATAAGGCAGAACAGGCCGGTGACTTGTGAGTAGCGCTAGTTTCATTGTGAATATTAAGAAATGGCATAATTAAGACCGTATTTTGATTCGGAACAGTTCTGACACAGGTTTTTGTCTCCCGAAGGAAAAGCAGAATAATTCAGTGTGAGCAAGCAGAGACATTTACGTAAAACAAACAGCCTCTTTAAACAAAGGCAGCTGATGTCAGTAGTCAAAGCTTTCAAGTTTGTAGGTCTCTTGTATGTCTCAACAGCGTCATTCCATGCGTGTAAGTGCTTGTATATGTGCGTATACACCACATTAATGAGCGGTAGGCTTGCGTGCGTGTGTGTGTGTGTGTGTGTGTCCG